TCAAAATATCTTGCGTCCAAAATATCTTAATCCTTGTTTGATTCTTGTTTTAGTTTAGGCATGTTGATTTAATGCCAAATCTAACAATTTCTAATATCTAACTCTCCCCTGAATTCATTAAGCCTCCCCAGTTCACCAAGACTAGCACTGTCCCTCCAAAAGGAATTGTTTTCGCGCAAAGCAAATGTACCCAATGTACGAAGACCAATCCGCTCACCCAATTCACGCGGAATTCTTCACAACAGTCTTTCAAGTTGAGATGCCTTAAGTTGATCATTTTCTTGACGTCTCTAGGCATTTCCACAAGATTCTCACAACCAGAGAGATCTAGTGTTTCCAAATTTGAAAGTTCAACTATCCAATCTAGAAGTATCTTGATAAGATTATGACGAAGATCAAGATATCTCAAACGTTTCATTTTTTTAAGATACTTGGGTAATGTGTAATTCTTAATTCATTGAGACTCAACATATGCAATGACTTAAAATTTGAAGCAATTGTAGTACAAAATGAATTACATAATGAATCTTCATCATCAATCGAATATTCTTGGCAAGGAAAAAGAAAAGTTTGTATCTTATTTGCTTTTAGCAATGATGTTGGCACTTTCCAATATGACAAATGAACATGAAAATTGAAAGATACATGATGAAGCTTTTCATGAAAATTCTCTCGATTGAAATCAACTACAGTGCTTCAGACCCCTGACACTAAGATTGCAAGTTCATTCATGAGGTAGTGCATTTTACAACTTTTTATTATGCCAAATGCATCTGTTTTTTCATCTTGAAAAAGGATCTCCAAACTAGTTCCTAGTAGTATTCATACGCAACATCTTCCAAACACTCATTTTCATCTAAAGACTTAATAAACCCTTGTGCCACCCAAAGTTTAATCAATTTATGTACAGAGATCTCATAATCAGGTGGGAACAAGCGACAAAAAGCAAAACAATGCTTCAAATGTGATGGAAGCACATCATAACTTAGTTTAAGTGTTGGTAAAATATCATTTTCTTCTTGACTTATTTTTGAAAGTTTTTTTTCTTTGAAATTCAACCATTCTGTTTCGTGATGTTTGGTGTGCAACATCCGACCTATCGTCCTTATAGCAAGTGGAACTCCCTGACATTTTCTTGCAATCTCCTTCCCAACTGCCTTAATTGTTGAATTTTCTAGCTCTTTTCCATCTTTAAGGGCCATTTCCTTAAATAAAGACCAACTTTGCTCTTCATTCAAACCCCTTAAGGTGTATGGTTTAGCTGTGTTTGATACCGTTGCAATGATTTCACTACAAGTGGTTATTAGTATTCTACTACCTTTTCCGCCACCCATTAACAAGTACTTCAAGCTAAGCCATTTCTCTCGATTCTCATTCCACACATCATCCAACACAAGTAGGTACTTCTTCCCATCTACTTTTCTCCTAAGATCATTTTGCAACTGCTCTATCCCATTATGTTCGGATATATTAAAGGATTTTCTTTGCAACTACATCCAGCTCAAATACATTAGAGAGACATGTCCATGTTTTCAACTCAAAATGATTTTGAATCACCTCATTGTTGAATATGAGTTGGGCAAGTGCAGTTTTTCCCAATCCTCCAAATCCAACTATGGAAATGGTTGACACATTCTCAGTTGAGATGGGATCCAACAAAAGTTGAATAATTGCCATTTTATCTTCATATCTCCCAATAATATTTTCCTTGGGGACAAAAGAGTGAGTGACCCTTTCTCTAATTATAAATCGTGGCTCTTCACGATTTAATTCTAAGTGAAAGGTTCTACCAAATGCAATCGCACGAAACCTTTTGTTAATATTTTTTTTCTTCTGGCCCATCTTTAGCCCAAAAGTAAGTTGATTTGAGCTAGAAAATAAGAGGCGTACCTTCTTTGACACTTTAGTACTTTCAGGCACCATTTCTCTCCATTGAGCTTCAACATTAAACTCATCCAGCAAATCATCGGCTTCATAAATTGCATCTTACACACTTTGGAGCCACAGTTTGACTTCATTGTTGGCTTGCTTTTGCTCAGCATCATGAAGAACAACTTGGAATCCAGCAACTATCTCCTTGAGCGTCTGGAGCTCATCTTGAACACCCCAAATCAATCCAATCTCCTGGAAAGCAAGGGAGCCTAGCCTTCCACTGATTCTATCTGCAATGTTGAAGAGAACTCCTTGCGCCATTTCTTGTACTCAGGACAAGAAAAAACACAGGTGAAGTGAATTAAAGTAGAAGTTGTAAACAAGAAAATGGTTTTGTGTAGTGCAAGATGGCTCCTCCTGCTAGTCTTTATATGGCCCTCTCATCCAACCACTCATACATCATTCCATGAATAAAAACATAAGAATTGTCGCTATATTATTAATGCCAGCTTGGTCCTTAACTTTATGCGCTTTGGTCGAGGCAGATGCTTACGGAAAGTACTAAACTAAAGCGATTAATATTGTGCTAGATAGTACAATTGCATGCAGAACAAACAGGCTGCTTTACGTGGTTCACTCGTAATTGACTACATCCACAGTTACAAATCCACAGTTACAAGAGCACTCAAGTGTTTCCTCATGATTGTTTGCATTACTAAGTCTTATTTGTAGTTTATAAGACTTGAGCTTACAATTAAGGCCAGAATAGGAAACAAAAAAGAAAGAAGCAACGTTCCCCAACGCTAGATGGAGCAGACGACACCACATAATCAGGCACACAGAAGCTTTCAATTACATCGCTAAGTGAACTCCATGTCGGCTCGGGTGCAGGAAAATAATTTTCTTCTGGCCAATCTAATCCACGTCCAACTGCACTTCCGTGTTGCAAATTTGCATCCTCTTGTTCAACAATTCGAATCCATGAAATTCCCCAACCGTTAAAAAGCCTAATCATTGGTTATCGCATGATAAAGTTTTGATAAACTAGTTACACCAAACTAATTACATTCACTCTTCTAAAAAAATCCGCCTAGCACCGACTAAACATTAGGCGATTGACCACTGTCCCGATTAATCCCTAGACGTTTGAAAATTAAAAAATAGCGCTTACACTTGCCTAGGAGCCCACCTAGGTCGCAATTCTCTAAATAACTTTTATTTTACAATTTATTTTTTAATTAAATTGTAAGAAACTTATTAAATACTTAGATATACACTCATGATATGATTATTACTCATGTTTTTAATATGTATGTTTGTTCTTCATGTTTTCAATATGTTTTAATATTTTATAATCTATTATATCATTCTATTTTTCAATTTATGTATTCTAATAAATTATGCATTTTTTTAATAGACATTTATTTTTTATGTTACATAAAAATTAAAATCCACTTAATCCACGTAAGCGCCGAGTTCCAACCCGCCGTCCAACTAACACCTCACGTCGTTTACAACCTGAGTTACATTCCATACGACCGGAATAAAATAAATACAAGGGAGTTTTAACAAAATATTCCCGGTATTGTTCACTTTTAACGAAAAACCATATTTATACCTTTCCTTGATACTATTAACTATACTTTTAAAAAGGACTTAATTAAAAAAGAAGTTTTTTTGAACTTTTCGTTAGTTTTCTTAAATACAAAGGCTTGTCACAATACTTCTGATGCCGGCTGGGTCCTTAACGTTATGTTGTATTTTGTAAACGCATTTGCAAATGCCGGCTTGGTCCGAACTGGACTTATAAAACAATAAACGATAAATTGGAATACTGGCTCCAGCCACCTGCAGGCTGATGATGCCATTCCTAAAAGTGGAACCACAAGTACCACAATGGAACTCTCGTCCGAAGAAAACCTGATTATTAACACAAATAATCAACATCCTCATCTGTAGACATTCATCCAAGTCACAGACGGGCACATTGCATAAGAGTCAAAATCCTCAACATACACTCATCCACTCGGTAATAACTTTATTTAGAATTCTGTTACATGTAGTTCACGACAACCGAGCATGTCTTCTCTCCCACAACTGGATAGCCATCCTGCAATCAATTCTGCATCACAAATCCAAGAGTAGTTACATTTCAGTCTTATATGCATACAATGCTTTCAAATCCAATGAGGTCAACTTTCATGTATCCAATGAGACCAGCTTTCAAATCCATGTTCAGTGTAAAAATCAGTAGTAGGAAGTAATGAGGTGAGACTGAAATAATGATCGAGTGCGCCAAAACGAGAGAAATCAGATAGTACAAGGTTTGTTTTCAGCCACATGTTCCACAAGAGCGACAATTAAGTTCAAATGAATGTATGAAAAAGAAAAAAAAAGTCATACCTCCAGTATCATTTAAGGGAAATATATACTGCAGGTAAAATTATACTTAAAAAGAAATTAAAGCTCCTTAACCACACCTTGCAAACCACTCTAGTATTCCACTTGCAATTGCAAAAACCAGCATGAGAGCTGCGCATTTGTTCTTGTTGCAAAAAAATCCTGCACATTTAAGCACACGGCACTTTATCACTGAAACCATCAATGTGTAACTCTAATGACCTCCTACGGTCCTAGCATACAATTTTTTCATTGAACCTACCATACAACTCAAACATTCAGTTTGACCAAGTTCACAATCTAATTTACCAGAGCCCATAAGTTACAGCACAATATGGTATCAGGGTATGCCAATCAAAAAAGTTTTAAGCACTTAGTATATTGTACTTGACAACTTAACCTTTAGATTAGAGGTCTGCCCACTAATACATTTCTGGACAACAGTACAAGTAAAGAACCAGAATCCAACCACTAAATAAACTTACATTGGAATATTGTAACGGCATTATTCACCTTATGTGTAGGTCGGCAAGAAAGTCTGACAACCTGGAAAATACCATAGTTTAGTATGAAAAGAACAGTAAATGGAGAAATTGATCAAAGGTGCAGAGTAAAACCTAATATTTGTGGCTATCACTGTCTGACCATCTTCATTTCCAAGATGACGCAGTGCTACTTCCTCCAAACAGCCATCTCGATATGCATGCTGCAATCAGACCAACAGCCAATTTCATCACCCAATTACTGGAAAGAAAAAAAAGAAGAAAGAAAAAAAAAAGAAAAAGAGGATCTGGACCAGCACAGTAAACAATAGTGCACGTAAACAGCACACAGAGCATAACAGTAAACACCACAAAAAACTACCGGCAGAGAAAGTAAAAAGCGGATTCAAACATACTTTGAGATGGAAGTGTACATGACAGTAGACAGACCTAAAATAAAAGCCGCATTGCAGATAAAATTAGATGAGGAAGACAAAATGCATGACAAAGTAGACTTTGTTTGCCCGTAGTAATTGCCATGTGCACCTAATTTTATAGGCAACACACTCCAAAATGGGGCAACATGGTGACTGGTCAGATAAGTTTACAACTAAAAGATTATAGCATGAATGGAAATCAAAACCATAGAACAGTTTCATTTTACCTTTTCCTTTTTTTTTTCAGTAAACTAGCCTTTAAATTTAAAGTTAACTTTTGTATCGTTAGCATAAATATCACACTGTTCCAATGAACACTATAGGGGGTAAATCTGTACATCGTTCATAAATAGGAGTTGTTAAATACAATCTGCAATCATAACACAGCAACTCCAAAACCAAGTAGGAAATTTCATATGATATAAATAGCTAAATCTAGTATCTCAAGGCCATAAATCTATCTCGGCTTCACTCGAGTCACTTGTATACAAACCCATCTGCATTAATGACTCCCTCTCCCATGAGTTTAAATCTTCATTTTCTAAATCTTCAAATATATAATCATCCAATTCTTCTAAGTGCTCGAACATATGAAATATGACATCCATAGGCGCAATATCATATCGCCGTGGAGGAGGCCTTCTCGGAGGAGGCCTTCTTGGAGGTGGCCTGTGAAATTTCCATACATATGAGCCTGGCTTGACCGTATGCTGGAATACAACAAACATTCCATCCATTAAAGGTGTCACAAAGCTAATCCTCTCCAGAAAGTAAAATGAAAAACAAAAGGTACATGATTCTAAGGTCTTACAACTAATAAATCAATAGAAGGTTTTAATATTCTATGATAGACTGTCACAAACACAGGATGGGGCGACAGAAAGAGAGACAAAGAGAATGAGAGAGAGAGAGAGAGAGAGAGAGAGAGAAAGAGACTGTTATAAACCCATTGAAGTAGCAAAACCACTTGCAATGATTAGAAAAAGAACATGTTATAAACTAAAACTGCTTCGCAAACCATCCACAATCTGGTGTCACCATCATCACAAGAAAGATACTAAACCAGAGACGAGAAACTATTCAAATTTAAGCCCCCTGGATGTATAACAGATGCACAAAAACGAATCAAAGATAATGATGAACCCATTGGTCCTCATTAGAAACACTAATTTTAGATTGAAGCAATCTGTTATTCAATGTAGCCCCGTGTTATTAAACCAATACCTAGTTGAGTTGGGTAAAAGAAATTAGAGTAAGCCATTTGACTACGATCCTAGAAAGCATACACCACTGCAATCCCTAGGGAGAACTAAAGATGTCTAAAAAGATTATTCAACAACTAAAAATCCGTTGATTCTAAATGTTACTAGTTATCGTTGCACGGGCATGAGCATGGGATAAATCAAACATATCACTTGAATACGGACTGCAAAAGCCTAACCGACCAAAGCACTAAGCGTAAATTTATTAAAAAATTAATATGGAATAATAAACCACCTTATCACTACCTACCAGCCACTTAACAAGTACGCACTTCAACTGCAGCCAACAAGCCACGTGATTTTGGTTGGTGACATGGAAATAATGTTTTCATAGAGAAAACTAACTGTATTATAACTCAATATGTGGTTAATCATAAAGAACACAAACCAAAGTGTATTATAACTCAATAACCTCAATTACATTACAAAAGCTACCCACTTACGCCACAAATTAGGCATCTGCCCCGCAATCAATCAGAACAACAATTGACGAGAAAAAAATAAAGCAAGTTCTAAATTGGAGAAAAAAAAAATGAAGGAGCTAAGCCAAAATCCATCACGTAATATACCACATGACTCCACAAACACAAATAAATAATACCAGAGGTACAGCGTCCAGGATTTTCTGTTTGAGGCTCAACATATGCGACATTAACAGATTCAGCAAGTAGACTAACCATCATATACTTATCCAAATCATCATTAGATTGTTGACATGATTAATTGCACTCAACATGACAGAAAAACCAATGCGAATAACAATTGCAGCAGAAAAACTCCATGTAGCACTTCTTTTTACCTTATAAAAACAACTAGTTCCAAATGGGCAGTTCCCATTTCCAAAATCAAAGTGCTTGCAATCAATTGACCTGCAATATAAAATAATTATACCTACAAAAAATAATGAGGAAGAGAGAAAGAGATCCCAAAATTCCCACTCTAAAGCCCTTTCCAACTGCAAATCACAATAGTAATATAAACAGTTGATATTTCTGTCCTCCAAATTGAGTAACTTCTTTATATCTGAGATAGAAATAGTAAAAAATATCCAAGGCAGAAGATAGGGCACTTGAATTCCAGCTTTCAAAAGAAAATAAGACGTTTGCGAAGAAAACTACCTGAGCCTTGCTTTGTAGCTGTCAACAATTTCCTGCTTCTCTTCTTTTGACTTATACCAAATGACACTTGGAATGACAAAGTATGACAGCTTCCGACATATTGGACAAGCTCTCAATGCGCTATTGACATCCATACCAGATGTTGGGGAACTACTGCGCCAATTTCTAATACAAGATATGCAAAAAGGATGATCACATTCTGAGAGTATCCCAAACTTCCGCTCAGCAACTGTGGGCTTTGACAAAACACGTTCTAGGCAAACACTGCATTCTATTTCTTGACTGCATTTCAAAGCCTCAAGTTGCTTCTGCTTTTCCTCACATATCTTCATATGCTCCTCCCCTTCCAAAGGTCTGTAAGGATGCAAGCAATGTTTTCCACAGCTGGGGCATATATCTCCATGAATATGAGGACATTTTTCTCCACGAGGGCAATTACCAGCTGCAGCAAATGAACAAATAGCACGATCTTCTGGTCTAGTATTCCTAGTCTCCCCAACACTACTTTCATCATCATCATAATCACCATCCAGAGAACAATTCCAGGCAGGTTTAGAGGGAGGTAAGAAAGGACTACTTGAAGCAGAGAGTTCTGAAAGAGAGAGTGGCGCAAGAGAAACTCCACTTGTTAAGGTTCTTGCAGGAAGAGCCAAAGATGCAGAATCAATAGCCAGGGATGGCTGAGAATTTGTTGATGAAGATGAACCGAAAGACTGAGCCCGAGAAGCTTTGACATGTTCATATCTGCATCTATTACCAAATGCACAAGCTCCTTTCTGATAAAAGGTACATATCTGTTAAAAAAGACCAGAAAGAAGAGTTAAGAGGGTAACAATTGTTAATCAGTATTACTTAATGCATATGCAACTAAAGTAAGTAGCATAAATAGTTTACATTATTTGGTGAAGCCTTCCAATCATGTGAAAACTCACAATGCTCCCCTTTCAAACAGGCGCCATGTGCAAAAAACTTGCAGAGAACCCTGAGGTAATCAGAAATGGCAATACAAGTTGTTCAATTATCTTCAACAGCCAATGAATTCTCTTTCTTATATGACTACTGTCAGGATATGGAAATTAGCTAAGCACGCTATTCCGTTGAAAATTCTCTAATTCAATCATCTCCAATACTACCCTACTCTCCAAGTAAGGTTTAAAAAAAACATGCGAAGAGCCGCTTCAACTACATGAACTCAAGGATTTCTTCCATCACTTTTCTTTGCAAATCTTAAAAAAAAATCAGATTTTGGAATCATACAACGACTCAAAGTTACAAACTTGTCCCAATATTTAGCACAAATGATCTTATACCACCATTTCTTAAATGTCAACCAGCCTGAAATGCGTTAGAAATTCACAAAAGCACTAAATATTAAAACAAACAAAAAACTGAAATTCTCTTGGAAAAATAAAAAATATTGATTCACAGAGGAACTCTAACCTACATTACCCAGCAAACTAATCAAAGGGAAATCAACCAACCATTCAATTTTAAAAAATTATAAATCAAATTAAAAACAGCTATTCCAAGAATCCTAAGAGAACACAATAAAAAAAGATAAAAAATTCAATATGCAAAATCACAACATCTATAAATTGGCAGATTCAACCATATCCAAATTCGTTTCTTGCATATAAAAAAGAACTCACCTTTTGGACATGGCGATCAAGTAATCGAGAGATAAGCAAAAGGGGTATTTCTGAGGAACAAAAATTGGAAATTGGAAAACCTATAAAGCTTCGGAACCAATGAAATGGCGAAGAAGCAGAATTGGGAGCGACGATCAGCGTGCCTTGAATCCTTCATTCATCCTCAGACTCTGACAAGAGAAGGGGAGTGAGAGGGAGAGTCAAAATTGTGAGTATCTAGGGTTTTTTTGGCGGTCGGTGTACGATACAAACTGGCCGTTGGTTCTGACTTGTAATTGCGGAAATGCCCCTGTGGACGGGAAAGAGGATTGAATTTGACGGGTCGCGGACAATACGGAAGGTTGTCAGAAATTACATTTTTTGGTTATGACGTTTAATTACATATTTTCCCTCAATGATTTAGAAATCGATCCACTTTGGTCCTCAAATTTTCTCTTTTTTTTTTTTTTAATATATAGACGCTATCCTCAAACATTGATAGTAGACCGATCACTTTCCACATGCAGCTCTTGTATGTAACACATGATTACCGTGACTAAACATGACTAAACGTTTCTCTTCTTTTTACGTTCATGAGTTTCTAACTAAACTTTTAAAATCTTATAAAATAAGGATAACAGTCACTACAGTTACAAAAGTTTACACGAATTAATGGTGAATGCTATTTTATTTAGCTGGTTTTCGGGGTAGAATGGACGTAGTGTCGTTCATGTGAGTAATGAATTTCCTTTTCAAACTACCACAACGTCTATAAAAGATAGCTAGCCATTACGTTTGACACCTGATAGTATATTGTACTGTAACTTAATTTTTCTTCTTTTTTATTCTTCAAAACTCTTACTCAATTGTTGAAAGTAGACAAAATAAGGACAACAATTATGTCAGTTATAAAAATTGACACGAACTAGTGGTGAGTGCCATTAATTTGGCTAATATTTTGGGTAGAATGGATGCAATGCCGTTCATGTGAGTAACGAAACTCCTTTTCAAACTACTACAACTTCTATAGAAGGATAGCTACTACAACTCAAATTTTCTCTTTTTTTTTTTTTTAATATATAGACGCTATCCTCAAACATTGATAGTAGACCGATCACTTTCCACATGCAGCTCTTGTATGTAACACATGATTACCGTGACTAAACATGACTAAACGTTTCTCTTCTTTTTACGTTCATGAGTTTCTAACTAAACTTTTAAAATCTTATAAAATAAGGATAACAGTCACTACAGTTACAAAAGTTTACACGAATTAATGGTGAATGCTATTTTATTTAGCTGGTTTTCGGGGTAGAATGGACGTAGTGTCGTTCATGTGAGTAATGAATTTCCTTTTCAAACTACCACAACGTCTATAAAAGATAGCTAGCCATTACGTTTGACACCTGATAGTATATTGTACTGTAACTTAATTTTTCTTCTTTTTTATTCTTCAAAACTCTTACTCAATTGTTGAAAGTAGACAAAATAAGGACAACAATTATGTCAGTTATAAAAATTGACACGAACTAGTGGTGAGTGCCATTAATTTGGCTAATATTTTGGGTAGAATGGATGCAATGCCGTTCATGTGAGTAACGAAACTCCTTTTCAAACTACTACAACTTCTATAGAAGGATAGCTAGTAGTTAAGTATGACTAAAGAGATATAAAAAACAAAAAATAAAAAGACAGGTTAGAGTTTTAAAGATAAGACGTGTTTCATGAATTGATATAAAATCAAAAAATCACTCAGAAAACTAAATCTTTATTTGATACATGCAAAACAATTTAAATCATAAACCGTCAATTTTCTTGATGTTAAATCTAATTACTTGGATTCATTAAGTTTAGTGAATAAAACAAAATCCGCCAAACCGAACCAATGGACTCAATTTGGTAGTTTGATCCGATTTTTAGCATAGATGCATAAATCCTATGTTCTAAACGAAAGTGGTGACGTGGCAATAAGTAGATTACATTTTTGTCAAGTTGTCGTTAGTTGTAAATCTCTTGTCACCAATTCTTGCATTTTAATTACTTGATGGATGAATGAGTTGCGTATAATTTATACTATACGAACATCATTGTCATAATTTAAGTCATTTTAGGTGTTAAAGTCTTATTGGACATAAAACATACCGGTACAAATAGGTCACATCTTTATAAAAGATGTGATGCATAATCTAATCATTATACATGCATTTCCCCGTAGGATAATATGTATTTTTATTGTACAAATTTTTAAACTGAAACAGTTTCAATTTTTTTAATTTTTATTTAAATATTATTCTTACAAAAAAATTATTTGAATAAGATTGCATTTACACATCTAGATGAATGAAATAAATGGACGTTCTGAGTAAAAGTAACATATATTTAATAAACCTATCATTTGTTCTATGTGTTTAGATGACTAAACGATATATGATTTGAATGGTTTTTTGTAAGAATGATCATTAAGTGAAGGTTAAGAAATTGAATAGTTCTGATAAAAAAAATTTAAAATTTATACGGTCTGTTAAGAACATAGATGCTCTAGTATGAGCCCATTTGACGTATCTAGACAAAGAAAATAGCAGTTGGTGACTAATCAAGCACGGAGGTGCCTCATGCCGAGCAGTTGACGTCAAACACCGAGCTAACAACCCTTAAACCCTGGATTCCAACCCTAAAATCCACCTAACCTCATAGAAACCACTATTTGTTAACCTTACCAAATTTTGGCGTAGACACTATAAGATACGTTATTTACAAAGAATAATATATGTGCATTCTCCACACAAAGAGATGCAAGTAGGGGTGGGCAAACAGGTAGTGGAACCGCAGGTCGGGGCGGGTACGGGGCGGTTCTAATTTTTTTGGAGAGTAAACGGGGCTGGGCGGGGCTGGGAGATGGCAATTAAGGTTCGGGCCCAAGTTCAAATATTGAGAAGAACAGGCCCCCAGACTGGCCTGTTTCTTAGTCCATCATCTAGGATCCCATCCCCCAGTTTGTAACTCAGACTCTTTCTCAGACTCTTTCTCGTCTCCTCCCACCCACACTCTCTGTCCCTCGTCTTCTCCTCCTCAACCTCGACGACATCAAACTCAGAACCGTCGCCGCCGTCGCACCACCTATCTCTCGTTCTCGGGGTGAAGGTCGATGTGGGAGTGAAAGAGAGGGACGGAGTCGGTGATCTCGATGACGTTGTTCTGGGGGGAGACGCGGCTGAAGAGGATGCCGTTGACGGCAGAGGTCTTGTGCTTGAGAGCGTGGAGCACCAGCTTTATGTAGGCATTTTGTGCGATCTCGACAACATCAAACTCAGAACCGTCACCGCCGTCGCACTACCTATCTCTCGATTCTCCTCCTCAACGAAGACCCCCATCATTAGCACCTCAAGATGGTCAAACACCATCATCGTCAGCACCATGCGAATCGAAGTCGACCACCATGCCCTCTATTCTTAGTCTTCCAATGTCTCCTCTCATATCTTAATTTTTTGCAAGATTGGGCATCTAGCCCATCTGGTTTTTCATTAATCAGCAGGTACTGTATGGTGGGAAATATGAGATGGGGTTTTTTTTTTCTTCTTTTTTTTTTTGAATTTGTTGTGGAGTTTAGACTTTAGTCTCATCCTTCTTCGATTTTGTTTCTAATGTTTAGATTAAGGAAAAATTGAAGGAAAATGTCTCTTGTATGTTGTTATCTGTGTAGGGATCTTGTAATCAAAGGGTATAAACCCAGATCCCTTTTGTTGATTTTGAAAATGAACTAGAGACAAAGTGATTGATTTTGTCGGATAAATGGTGCCATGATTTTATATGTATGGATCCACAATGGGAAGTACATACAAGGCGGTGATGGAGTTCAGGTTTATCATGACGGTGAAGCGGCTAAAGGACTCGAGGTGGTACCTGAGGATGGAGGAGACGTGGACTTGCTAGGAAGCTAAGGCACCCACACTTGGACCCATGGGGACCCGTAGGACCGGCCGGTTTCAAAAGGGTAGGGTTAGGTCTGGATCCCATTTTGAAAAACCCAAAACCCGCCCCGCCCCGCCCCGTTTTATTTACAAACGGGTCTGGTCCGGTTCCTTCAATTTTGAGCCCGGCCCGGCCCATGCCCACCCCTAGATGAAAGTATTATCCTAAACATATTCGGAAGAAAAAAAAAAAAGTTACTTTTGTTACATTTTCTGTTGTTTATCCCTGCAGTTTATTTTTTCGATACTTTTGTTTATCCATACATCCTCTAGGAGGGAAATGGCCTAATATCCGAACTTTCTCCCACCACCACATTTTTTGGATAAGGAAAATGTCAAATTAAAGACAACAAACAAAAGAAAGACCACACCCCTCAACAATCCCATGGCTACCATGTTCTCACCCTCAACCTTCTCCTCCACCACCACCACAGCCACCAACACCACCATCACATCTCCAAAACCACCCCCAACTCCACTACCCCCAAGATCCCACCTCCCCATCCCACCCTCCAAACCACTCCTAAGTACCTTAACCACCACACTAACTGCCACCGCCGCTGCGGCTGCCATCCTAACCGCCTCTCCACCCTCATTAGCAGGCCCCACAGCAACAACTTACCAAATCTACTACGGCACTGCTGCCAGCGCGGCCAACTATGGCGGTTACGGTGGCAACTCCGACAAGAAAGCCTCCGCTGAGTATGTCTATGATGTGCCAGATGGATGGAAAGAGCGTTTGGTATCAAAAGTCGAAAAGGGTACGTACATATATGCTCACAACATCTACGACATATGTGTCACATGCTAATTATGTTGTGGCACTTAATAAATCCATATTTATATTGTTAAACTGTGAATCAGGAATCAATATTTAGTATTTTTCTTGATGAATAGGGACAAATGGGACTGATAGCGAATTTTATAACCCGAAGAAGAAGTCAGAGAAAGAGTACTTGACATTCCTTTCCGGGTTTAGGCAACTAGCACCGAAGGATGAGGTGCTGAACAATTTGGCTTTGTCAGATGTGAACTTGCAGGACTTGCTAGCGAGTGCAGATAATGTGACATCGGAGGAAAGGGACGAGAAGGGACAGGTTTACTACGTGTATGAGATCGATGGAGTTGCTGCTCATAGTTTGATTTCAGTGACTTGTGCTCAGAACAAGCTATATGCACATTTTGTCAATGCACCAATTACGGAGTGGAACCGTGACCATGACTTGTTGCAGCATGTTCATGAGTCCTTTAAAACTATTGGATCCTTTTAGCTTATTACATTTGATGCCATTTGTCAATGTGGTTCTATGTGCACATTTGAAATATATACAGATTTTGATCATGAAATAAAACGACGTTTGATCGATCCTTTCCAGTGTAGGCCTTCATCAGTTTTTTTTTTTGATTTAAATTCCATAAGCACTTCAAAATTAGTGAATTTATAGTTTCTTCTGCACAATAAAAAAAAATAAAGAAAAGAAAAAGCTCTCTGCTATTATATGAAATGAGTTGGACTTATCACTTCCTCCCTAATTAGCGACTTGGAAGTTGGAATACGTAAGTTTTTCTTCAAAAATTGGTACTGTCCTGCACAAGTAGAAACCAGAACAAACCAAATTGTACTGATTAGAAGCACTAAGATGTAAGCTACCGTTTCTGAACTGTCCAAATTGAACCAAGAACAAAATGAGCAGCTTACTGATACTGAATACATGAAATGAATAAAAAAGAACGTTAGCCGCATTGTTTACAAAACAAACTTAGATGTTTAAAATTCAGCTGGAAACAGCTTCTAATACGCGTAGGCTAGCAAAAGAGGAATCCGCCGGAGGAGGGGCTCATGTCTGATTAGCTAGTTGGTGAGCAACTAGCTCATGATATCATTAGCTCCAAGAGAAGGATCAGCCATGCACACTGGGTCTGAAACACAGCCCAGACTCCTACAGGAGGCAGTAAGGGTTTCCGCAATGAGCAAAAGCCTTGACGGAGCAATGCCGCACATCAACTTTCACCCATCAAAGCAAAGTAAATATTTAAGAAAAAAGTTAGAAACTCGGATTGTTACAAATTTATGAACCATTTTTTAACAAACTTCATATTAACAATGTACATTTTAATTAGGGAGACTTTGGATGCGGTCCTTAGTCATGAATATTCTTTGATTGAAACCTTATTAGTTTTTAATTTTTGATTGAGATCCCTGAAATTAATGTGATAATTTATTTTTATGTACGTTACTATTTTTTTAAATTAAAAATTAGAAATTTTAGTTGTTTATATAAATGAGATTTTAAATAAAAAAACCATAATTTGTGGGATTAAAAATATTAAAATATAATCTACTATTGTGTGTGTGTGTGTGTAAACATGGGTACATTCATCAAAATTAACCAAAAAAATCAAAACATGGGTACATTCTTCAAAATCACAAAAAAAAAAAGATATTAGGCTTAATAACATTAGTAAATTTCTTCGGTTAAACTTGACATAGATACATTTTAAAACCAAAGAAAAAAGAATGTACCCATATAAGTTTAAAAATGGATTAGAAAAAAATTGAATAGATTTTATATTAAAAAAATGGTACATTTTACATATAACAAATTTTTATATTTAAGAATGAGTACATTTTAAGATTAAAAAGTTTTACATGAATGGGTACATATAATTAGAATGGGTACATTTAGCAAAATAAAAAGTACAAATAAAAAAATATATGGGTACAAATACAAATAAGCTTTAAAAAATATGGGCACAAAAAGAAATTAATATATGAGTACAAATTAAAATTGAAAAGAAATTGGTACAAATTAAAAAAAAATTACAAATTAAAAATGGATACAAACTAAAACTAAAAATATATGATAAAAAATTTAGTCATAAATATAAATATACTAATTGTAACATTTTTAACATTAAATGAATATATTTAGAAATAAAAAATATTTTATTATTGAAATAATTAATGATTTAATAATACCAAGGATCTTGATCAAAAATTGAAAATGAATAGGATTTTAATCAATGGAGTAGTAAAAGGAAGGATGATAACCTAATTTTTCCTTTTAATTATTAATTTGAAGCAAAATTCAACTCTTGCTAATACAAAGTGAAGCCATCATCATAGGAAACATGCCATCCCCTAAGGTGTGGCATTTTCATCGCAGCTGCATCTCTTCTTCCAATTCCCACTTCCAGTGTTTGGTCTCTTGTTCTTCTCATTCCATTTGTACGCAATCACTCCAGACCTGTGACTCCACTCTCCGGCAATCCCTTGGTGCAAATAATCCTCTCCTACACAATCCATATACAATTATCAACATAACGCTACTTCACTCACCATTTACTAAATTTACACTAGCTAGGGATTGAAAAATAAATTGGTAGTGGGGCTGGAGAAATAAATAGTAAATTGATGATTTCCCCCCCACCCCGGGAACTATCACTTAACTTTTAATTTTTCCCTTAAACTTTTTAATTGGAAAATTAATGACTTTAACTAATTATTTTGGCCGATTTGCCCCTGCTGTTAATTTTTCATTCATTCCATCCAAATTCTGTTAAATGGAAGCATGTGCACAACATGCCAGGGCAGTTCGGTCACTTCATGATAGGAGCATTTTATGCGACTTTGTTAGCTTATTTCTTTGCATTTACTTAGTTAGTTTCTATTTATAACAGTGTTTTAAGCTATTTTCGTGTGTTTGTAGGTCCAATTGGCAAAGATGACAATAGATAGCAAAATGGAGCAGTTTTGGACTTATAATTGATAGCATGCATGGGGAGCACTTTGGATGGACGTTTTTGTGTTTAAATAATGCTAGAAATGTGCTACAATCTAGAGGAATTAAGAGTGAGGCTTGGGAGACAAGGAATCAGAAATTAAAGGGAAACCTTATCCTTAACAAACCTTATCTAATCATATCATATCCTTATCCAAACTTACCTTATCTTATCCAGTCTTGTTTTATCTCAACCTTATCTTATCTTATCTTATCTTATCATATCCTAATCCTACCTTACCTTATCTCCTGCTGCAAGGGGGATTCCTTATCACATTCAAACACTTCTAATCTGATTTAAGGAGTCACTGCAAACAACTCAATCATTTTACACCACAAAGTAGGCCGTGCCCTAGCCCTATAAATACAAGTTATTGCCGTAGCTTTCAAGAAGAGCTTTAGAGAGAAATTCAAAGAAAAAATATAAAGAGTGCTGCAGCTTTGCAAGGAAGGAAGGAGAATAAGAGTTTTGTGCCATGACCTGCCATCCAAGGCCATTGGAGTGCTGGAGCGTTCCTGGGTTCTTTCTATCCTTAGTTTTAGTTTAATGTTTAAATTAGATTGGTTTCGTTTAATTGCCAACATGTGGAACTAATTTTGTTTTAGCTAGAGGTGAATTCGAACCCATGATCATATGTTTTATATGAATTGATTACATTCAGTTATTGTTTCGTAAAACATGAATGCAATTTACTTATCTATTATATAGAGAACTTGTTCTTGTGTGTTGATTAAGGGTGCACACTTAGTTTGCATGCAGAGATTTGATGATAGAATATAAGGGAATTTCACCTAATCGTTATGAACTTATATTTACAAGTAGTAAAAGTCACTAGTCATGATTGTGTTAAGTAAATTCCTGGTAGGAGTATCATGCAGTTCATAGTTACGAATGTCTTGTCAATGCTTATGATTTTCACAGAACTTAATGATCTTTGATATGTATCTCTATCATGTTGTTCATATAGGGAACTTGATAAGAATAATTTGATTGCGTCGTTCAGTCCAATTCAATGAAATTAGGAAAATCTAAGAGTTAATTAGTGCAGTTCACAATTAATTTGGGGCGTTGTCGTTCATGGTTTATATGAATAATAACTGGAAATCGATTTGTATGCATATGGTTCATGTGTGGAGAAGAATCCTCTAGCTAGCCTTTCACACAATTTTCGTCCAAACCTACTTTGTTTCTGCAATTTACTTGTTTTAAGTCACAATTTCATCCAAAAACCTCCCCCCTTATGTTTAGTGTCAGTTTAGCTTAGTTTTCAGTTTTTAAGTCTAATTAGTATTGATTAGCATCCCTTCTAATCCCCGACCTAGAACGATCCCTACTTGCTCATACTACAACTGTCTTAATAGGGTTTAATTTGTGTGTTAGTTTTTACCACATCACTTCATTTTTTTAAATAATTGAAAACCTTAGATTTCTAAAATATAAACCTACGCAAATATCTGTGATTCTATATTGTGTCTGAAGGTCTAGCGAAGTGACGTTTTTGTCCACAAATGAGAGTCACATGGTGTGCATGTGATAAGAGTTAACGTTAATTTGGATGAAATCTATGAAAAACTAACGGTAAGGGGGGAATTGGCCAATAAAATTAGTTTAAGTTCTTAATTTTCCAATTAAAAAGTTTAGGGGAGAAATCGAAAATTAAGTGATAGTTCAAATGGCAAATTGGCAGTTTAGCCTGAAATAAATTAGTTGCGAACTTGTTATATACGGAATTCAAACCTAAGACTTCTCACTTACAAGTAAGAAATAAGAATATCATAGACCATTGTACTAGGTGGTGATCATTTATACTATCTTAATTGTATTGTTTACAGTTGAAGTTGCTAATTAGTTCAAATACATGAAAGAAAAAAGTACACATAAGAAAGGCAAAGCCAAGTTACCATATGTCCATTCATGAGGATAAGGAACAAATATACATATGGAGATAAGTATATATATGAGCTGAAGATAGAGATAAGACATGGATACACATAAATCTTAGTTTTGCGAAGTATACCATCTTGAAGCCTCGGCATCATGTTCAATTTCGGATGCGGGTTCATCTTCTTCTTCGAAACACTCAATATCGAACGATCCATGGCCACGACCGAAGGCCTTGATGTGGTCTTTGAGAGACCTCTTTTGCTTAAAATCAGACCCACAAATGCAGTACCAAATCTTGCCACAGTTTTTCTCATGGGTTCTCCAATCACCTTTCACAGAAAAAGCCTTGCCACAGCGTTTGCACATGAAGGATCGGACGCCGTGCTTTCTCTTGTAATGTACCTGAAGAGTTCTGAAGTCCTTGAGTGGCTTTGCACCTCTAGGGTTGTCAATGTTGTGCTTACAACCTGGTGCACAACAATAGCAACGGAGTCTTAGCATGGCTGTGGGTTGAGTTCTCTTTAGCGAGTTTGGTCCTTCCCTGTATTGAGAGCCATGCCCCCACATATGCATCTGTACAGTTAATTAATTCCATTGAAAGAAAAAAAAGTAATGTTAGAACCAAAAGATTTACAGTATATAATTTCAGGAAAACTAATGAAAATAACTTGAAAACTTTGAGTTTTAACGATAAAGACAAAATAAAGCTTCCGGTATTGTTCACTTTAACGAAAAACTACATTTTTGCTCTAAAAAGTCAATCATAGTACTATTCACTTTACCCTTTATTTTGTTCTTATTGTTAAAACTCAAAGTTTTCAAGTCATTTTCATTAGTTTTCGTATTATAATTTCATGTGATAAATAAGTAACCTCATCATGCAACTTGAACTTTTGAAGCGTTATTACTGCAACTTAAGCTATACATTTCAAACATCAATAATATGCATGAATAATATAGGGATAATACTCGTCTCTTTCTCTAAAAATAGAAATTCGTACATTCATACCAATCACTTTTTTTTTTTTTTTTTTTTTTTTTTTTTTTTTTTTTTTTTTGCGTTTTTGATGAGTTATGCATGTACGCCAAACTGTAATTAACACAACTAATGTAAAAATTCTTACTTCCTAAAAATGAGCCAAGCTATTATATCCAAAAACTGACTATATATAAGGGGAATACAAGTATTATTCTTCTATAAATAAGAAAAAAAGGTAATGTTAGAGCCAAAAGATTTACAATATACAATTGCATATGTATAAACAAGTAACCTCATCATGCAACTTAAACTTTTGAAGCCTTATAACTGCAACTTAAGCTATACATTTCAAACATCAATAATATGCATTATATATATATATATATATATGTATGTATAATATAGGGATAATATTTCTCTCTCTCTCTAAAATAAAAATTATTACATTCATGCCAATTGCAGTTTGACATGTGCCGTGTGCAGGGAAATTTTTATTCTTATATTTTTTATGAGTTATGCATATACGACTAATGTAAAAAATCTTACTTCCTAAAAATAAGCCAAGCTATTATATCCAAAAACTGATTATATATAGAGAAAAAGGGGGCAGAAGAAATATATATAAAATGGGCAATTTTTTTGCACTGTGAAATGAATAATGGTAATTTTTTGTACTGGTCACTTGTTGGAGTGTACGAAGCTAGAATTAAGTGTCAATACCATTGTCCAAGAAAATTCATAGTTTCTGAAGTAGTGTGTTTTCAGCCTCAAGAAACAAGTTTGATTTAGGGACAGAAAACTATTTAAAACTATGCCAAACAAGTACCTTTCCCACATTTTCCTAGGAGATCTAGAAGAAATAGTCGCACTAACACGTGGACAAATTTAACTAGGTGACGTAGAACACATGTGGTTGTTAAACTAAACACGTAAGCATACCGACTCTGATACTAGGAAGGAATTTGAATGTGAATTGGATCAACTACTTCCCCTAGTACCATGATTCCTTACTTTACCATTCCTAGTAAGGAAAGATGTCACTAAATCTCCAAAACTGTAAAAGCACAAACAGTAGTCTTTATTTCTTAATCTACAGTGGTAGTCCTTAGTTCTTAGTACTGCTAATGTTAATTGCAGTACATATCCAGCTGCCACCAATTTATATACACGATGATCTCTCCATCACCTTCATCTTGTCCTTTACTGAAAGCTGTCCTGCTACGCTATCAGTTAACAAGCAGAAGCAGTGGTACTGGAAGCACTACTACTAGGTATAAATGTATAATTAAATTGAACCTGCAGAAGTTTTAAATTCTGAGCGCAGGGGGCTTTTACACAAGAAGAACGTGAACATTCAAATATAAATGGTACAAGTGCACAAATAAAAAGCAAAGATGCATGCATACAACACATAGTTTAAGCCACAAGCAATTAAACTTGCAAAGGCAATCTAACTGAGACCGATTAACCTTCAAAATGTAATTAGGAAAAACTAAATGGCAAAAAAAGTAGAATCTGTAAATGGATTTCTTTCTCTTTGTTATGGAACAAGCTAGCCATAAGTGTATAAAAATATATATAAAATAAGATAACCTGCAAGTTATTGTATCTGTTGAAGGTTTTGGAGCAAATAGAACATGAGAACTGAGTTGGGCCAATAAGAATCTGGGAAGGGGTGGGAATCCAGTAACGATCACCCTTGTTTAGTCTGTCCACAGCCACACTAGGGTTACCCGATGAAACAACATCACTATTACTGCTACTGATCACTCCTTCCTTATTATGAACCTGATCTGCAAACTGAGATTGCACGTTACCAAAATTAGAAGAACTTGGGAGGCCTAAGTGTAGGGCTACAATCAAGTTATCCTCATCATCGCCGCTGTCATCACCATCATCATAAACAGCATGATCTTTGTTCCTCGTTTCTTCTTCCATTGGAGTAATAGTGCTGCTGTTTGAGGGCTCATGACCATGTTTCTCTTCTAGGACCCCTCTAGGGCTTAGTAAGTTGTTTAGTAAAGGAAGAGCTTCTTTGAGAGGAGGTGAGGAAACGTTGATATGATCATTAATGGACGAGGGCATCTGTGTTTGAATATTAGAGGATTTCTTATCAGTGAAGAAGTTATGTGAAGAGTAGGTGTGTGGAGGATTAGAAATACTGAAATTAAAGGGGCTACTTCTGGTTGAGTTGGCAGAAGAAGTAGCAGTAGAGAGCAATGAAGGGAAATGGTGAGGGTGGAGTGGCATAAGTTGATCCATCCATTATTGTCGAGATTGGAGGAGTTATAGGGGTCTGCCATGATAGAAGAGTATTCTCAGTCTCAGTGAAGGACAGTAGTGTAGGAAGACAGTTTTGGCGACGGTGTGGCACTTTGGTCACAGAATGAGAGATTGTATATAAATAATGGGAGAGAGAGGGCGAGAGAGAGAGAGAGAGAGAGAGAGTATGATCCTGCAGGTAAAAGAAGTAAGCTGAAGTTGTGGAAAGTCAAGAAATTTTTACCCCTTGCAAGTAACAAACAGAAATTGACAAGATGGGGAGATAAGTCAGGTATCAGATTTGCAGCTTGTCTCCAGACAGAGAGAGGAATTTAGCTAGGTTATTTGTCGGTTTCACATTTTCACTTTTTATATCTTGCTTCAAGCAATCAAGTCGTTTCTTGATGAGGGTAAGAGTTCATCTAGCATTTGCTTGGATGGGCGTGAACAATGTTTCATATACATGCAGTACCGCTCCCTCTTTTTGGCTTTGCTGGTCAACAAACTCATGAAAGCAGGTGTGACGTTGGGGTTCGAACTTTTTGAGGTGTAACCTTCAATTTTTTAGGTACTCTTGGATAGAAACAGAGCGCAAAGTCTGCAAATGAAATTGCAGTTTATTAATTAAGGTATTTCGTTATATATATGGTGGATTTGTTGTCTTCAACCAAACCATATTGCACACATGTTAACAAATGTCGATATATACCGGAGCAATCTAATGAGTGATATCAAAAGAAATTGTTGAGTGCTATTGGCACAACATGTAAAGATATGTCTAGCAGACATTACATCAAAAACTTAGCAAGCACAAAAGGAACACGTACCAAACATTCAAAGGGTTTTTGAGACACCTTCACATATATATTTCTCGAATTTCGAGTGGTCCTGAGACCACTTTGGTCTTTTGGTCTTTATGTATATCTGCCCCTGCTTGGAAGGAACTTAAGGTTGCACTTTAAAACGATAAATACTTTACATCTTTACAAGTCTTTTTACTAGTGAGAATATTCAAGCCATGCATGTATATGTGTAACCAAATTACTATAATACCATAAAGAAAATTGAAGCTCTACCTGAAGTCATTTGACTATAAGATAGTAGTCCAACTCCTTATAAGCACATATAGTGCCTCTTAACAACACACTTCACATCGTCACACCATTCAAATATCATCCACTAAAAAACAATAAAAGTATTTAGGCAAAGTTGTTGACACTTTTTAGTAGAGGTGAAGCCTCTTATTATATACACCACAAAAAATGTTGGCAATAAACCATCATCGTCACCTAAAGCCACTTTTGTCGCCTAAAACATTAAGCGACGACAAATTTCGTCGACATCTTCGTTCGTTGCGATAAGCATGTAAAATGGTTGCCAAGAACAGAACGCAAGGTGATTGTGGAGATAGTGTGCCTCAATTAATTATTCCCTCTCTCTCTCTCTTGCTTGACTGCAAAGGATGTATACATACATATTATAGGAATGTGGACCATAATTGCAGTGGCAAAAACCAGTAGAATTGAAGAATACAATCAAGAAAAAGAGAGACCCAATCCAAAACAAAGAGTTGAGGCAAAATATGTAAATGAAGTTAGTAACTTATGACTTAGTTATTAATTAGATCATCTGACTTCAAACCCATATGTCGTTTGACACAAGACCCACTTGGACATAACCAAAGTATTCCCTTTAGTATTGCTCAAACCAAAATAACTTGTTAAATATTTGAGATGAAGACCTTGTCTTGTAGATCTGCATTCTATGTTGACTAAATCTTAACTAAAATGAATAGAAAGTTGTAGTTTAATACAAGCTACTATTTTTTATTCCAAGTGACTACTCCAACCAATCATCATTTATGAGAAAGGGTGAGACAAAAAAAAAAACAAAGTAAAATAAAAATTTAGTCACTAGGGAGAAAAATAGAGAAAGAACTTTACCTCAGCATCCCCCGACTTTTGCTTTGGGGTAGGTGGTGTGGAGCCAAAAATAATCAGAAGACGACAAGTGGATTTTTTTGTGAAGATGACAAATTTACCCTCGAGGCATACCGGGTCTCCTACACGTGAGCAATGGAGAATCATCCATCAACCAAATCAGGAGTACCCAAAATAAGTAACAAGTTCAAATTTGTCTCATTCATCCTCATTCCATAACCTCCCAAAACATTTCTTTTATTATGATAATTAGCCAATTAATATATTTATACCTAATTAATATATTAATTGCTAAATTGAATCACCAAGGCCACACTCCCCTATAAAAGCCCTATTCTCTTCTCCAAAAGACACTTCTCATACTCTTGCAAAACTCTCAAAAACTCTCTAAACATTTTTCTCTATAAAATCTAACTTTGGCATCGGAGGATCTTCGGCCAAAGCCCCCCCCCCAATTCATCGTGGGCGCGTGAGGCTATTGGCCTTGACCCGAAGGTGTTAATTGTTTTGTAGGTGCAATATTGTTCAAGATCAAGGAGGAAGAAATTTGCATCCACAAATTGGTGCTTTCATTGAGAGTTGAAATCCATACTCGTAGAAGACTCTCGCATAAAAAGGTTTTTTCTCTATTTTCTAGTCCATTTGAATATTTTTCATATGTTCTTATTATTAGAATTTTTTATTTGCAAAGGTTTTTTGATAAAACGTATAAAAAAAATATAATGGCTAAAAATTTAGAAAATTCCACAAGTGAAAATTCCAATACTCAAGAAATGGGATCGCGGAGATCCATGAGGCAAAATGCGGTCGTAAGCAGAGTGGCACCACCACTACAAGGTTCCAACATAGCCCAAGACATGCCATCCAAGCTTGCACGGGCCCGAGCCCAAGCCTCGCATTCGCATGCACCACACATTAAGCAGCCTGCTCCCGTGACCCTACCTACCTCCCATGGTTTCCCAAGCAGCTCAAGTTGGCCCGTGAATATCTCAACTATCTGGAGCAACCATCGAGCCGGGGGGCATTTTCACCATATTTCTTCGCAGATTTGACATTTCCCAATTCAAATCTTACACCCGGAGTCTACCATACTTCCACTGCTTAAAGAGGCACATTCCTTCCAAGCTCTTCCAATCCAAATGGCAAACAACACTTGTCTCGACAAGTCATAGAGTTGACGAGCGCCCTTGCACAACAAACAACCTTAGTGAATCAACTCTTGCAACGCATCGAGATCCAACGTGCCTCGGACGAGGTGTCCCGAAGTAAGACAAGCGCAGACAAACCTCTCCACCAGCATCCCGGCAAACAGCCCCTTAACCAGCCACGTTCCAAGCATTCTGGCAGTTTACGCTCCCGCCTAAGTCCTTGGGATAGCGTATATTCTCGTCTTAGCGCGCGGAGGAGCGTGCATTCCCAATCAAGCCCACGGACGAGCATACATTCACAATTGAGGTCACATTCCGATTATCAACATGGACAACCTTCTAGGCGAAATGTTCATTCACAACTAGGCTCGCAATGAGCATTCTCCACCTCACATCGGAGTAGGCAGCACGGCAGACGGAGAGAAGCAGTCACTCAATCCGACTCAAGTTCAACCGGCAGCCTGCGAATGGCCCGTTCGCCTGCCAGGTACATGCCACATGCACCGCAGCCGCGATATGGACGACTCGAGCATAGGCAAGAGCGGCTTGGACCTATAAATCATGATTGGAGGCAGACGAAAAGTCCACTGCCCCAGCAGAGGCAAATTCAAGAAGAAGTTGAGAGACTCATAACTGAACGATTGCACAATTTCCAACATAAAGAGGCTGCTAACGATGCTCTTTGATGAGACATAACCAACAGAAGCATGTCACCATTCACGAATGAGATCGAGTGGACAGATCCACCTCGCGGTTCACTATGCTTCATTTCATTTCGTACAAGGGAGACGAAGATCCAAATCGACATCTCAAGCACTACCGCAGTATCATGATCCTCAACAAGAACAACGATGCGCTTATGTGCAAAAATTTTGCCACAACTCTATAAGGCGAGGTGCAAGATTGGTTTCACACTCTGCTGCCGCAATCGATCAGGAGTTTTAACGAACTTTCCTTTGTTTTCACTAAGGAGCATTCGTCTAACCGCTCAATCAAAATGACATCCGACCATCTCTTCAGCATCGTAAAAGATCATTAGGAGACAATTCGCGACTATGTCAAGAGATTCAAAGCGGAGAAGGCCAAGATTGTTGGTTGCAACGAAGACATAGCAACGGCAGCATTCAGAAATGGACTTCCCACTGAACATCCTTTATTTGGAAAACTGATCATGGGAGAACAACTGACCCTAACAACTTCTTATGCTTTGGCAGAAAAGCATGCACCATGGGACGAGGCCAAGTAGTCTAATAAAAACGAGTCAGAAAAAAAGTACATGGAACGTTCCCTAACCAGAGAAGACTCAGCGCCTGAAACATTCATCAAATTCACAGTTCCAATCGGCCAAATTCTCCGCAAGCTCAAGAACGAACCTTGGTTCGAACTGCCGCCACCTATGAAATGCAATCCTACCAGGCTGGATCATACAAAGTATTGCGCATTCCATCAAGGACTAGGCCACACTACCAACGGCTGCCTGGAGTGGAAGCAGTATCTTGAGAAGCTGACAAATAAGGGTCGATGCGATGAGTATCTTGACAAGTCAACGAAACGGCCTACACAAGCAGGGGAAGTCTCCATCACCCCCTAAACCTCGTTTGGGTTTTTTTTTCCAAATAAGTTTGAAGTCTCAAGCAGCTCGACGAACAAGGCTTTACAAGCCAAAGACTATCTAGTTTGTTATGCAGTTTCTGCCTTCTAGCACAGTTGATTTATTTCTTTATTCTCAATGAAGATTTAAGAAGTTATTCATAAGCATGGCTCAACTGTTGTCCACAATGACTGCTAAAAACCCATACGGGTTCGCTTTCCAGTACGAGAGGATAAACTAATTGCTCTCCAGTGTGAGAGGGTAAACCAATTCCCCGACACCCAAAAAGGTCTGCTCTACAGCGCGAGAGGATAAACTAATTGTTCTCTAGTGCGATAGGGTAAACCAATTCCTCGACACCCAAAAGGGTCTGCTCTCCAGCGCGAGAAGATAAACTTTGCTCTCCAGTGCGAGAGGGTAAACCAATTCCCTAACTCCCAAAAGGGTCTGCTTTCCAGTACGAAAGGATAAACTAATTGCTCTCCAGTGCGAGAGGGTAAACCAATTCCCCGACACCCAAAAGGGTTTGTTCTCCAGTGCGAAAGGATAAACTAATTGTTCTCCAATGCGAGAGGGTAAACTAATTGCTCTCCAGCGCGAGAGGGTAAACTAATTGATCTCCAGTACAATAGGGTAAACTAATTCCCCGACACCCATCTGGATAAACTCTCCAGTGTGAGAATGCCACATAGCTTAAAAGATCGAATGCTTGAAGATCAACTAGGCAACAAATGGTCAAGGGCAGTAGCCACTTTTGCACTTAATAGCTCACTCATCCGACACTTTATCTTCAGCAGCTTCGATCTTGGCAGTTTTATCTTTGATTGCTCCATCCACAGCAGCTGAGCCCATGTCGAGCTAATCCTTGGCTTCAATTAAGCCGAGCAGCACAAGCAATGGCCCCTACCACACCACATCTTTGGCCCATGACAAGCTGACTCCTAGCCCCTGCCAGCCGACGTGCCGCACCACCCCGACAGCTGCCCCGTGGCAGTACCTCCCAAGAAGAAGACAAGGAGAATTAAGTTTTCCTTACATCGGTGCGGCGCGGAGAAGACGAAGAAAGCAACGAAAGACGGTCATTTGCACAGGCAAGTGTAGAAGATTGCTAGGGAAGGGGAAACAAATATCCTCTAAGCTTTCTCTCTTTTGTAGGGTAGAATAAATCGCTCTCCAAAGTTGATTTAACAACCCACTTAAGGTGGGCTTAAATATTCTTTGAGAGAAATTTATTTCTCTTTCCTAGAATGATCTAATTTCATATTAAAGAAAAGAAGGAATCTACATCAAAATATGAAGCAGTCCTAAAGCAAGAAGATCTCTACACCTGCTGCCATTTCCTATGAGCAGCCCAACAGGTGTGGGGGCATTTGTGGAGCCAAAAATAATCACAAGGCGACAAGTGAATTTTTGGGTGAAGATGACAAATTAACCCTCGAGGCATACCGGGTCTCTTACACGCGAGCAGTGGAGAATCATCCATCAACCAAATCAGGAGTACCCAAAATAGGTAACAAGTTCAAATTTGTCTCATCCATCCTCATTCCATAACCTCCCAAAACCTCCCAAAACATTTCTTTTATTATGATAATTAGCCAATTAATATATTTATACCTAATTAATATATTAATTGCTAAATTGAATCATCAAGGCCTCACTCCCCTATAAAAGCCCTATTCTCTTCTCCAAAAGACACTTCTCATACTCTTACAAAACTCTCAAAAACTCTCTAAACATTTTTCTCTCTAAATTCTAACTTTGGCATCGGAGGTTCTTCGGCCAAAGCCCCCTCATTCATCGTGGGCACGTGAGGCTCTTGGCCTTGACCTGAAGGTGTTAATTGTTTTGTAAGTGCAATATTGTCCAAGATCAAGGAGGAATAAATTTGCATCCACAGGTGGCATCCTAGTCTTGGTCTCTTCACTCTCTTCCACTACTTGTTTCTACTATCTTTCAATCATCTCCATCTTTTTCCTAGTTGTGATCGGCACTCTCTCATTTTGTCAAGGAGAATTTTCTTGGTTTTGATCATTTTCTCACTCTATGATACTTCGTAACGGTTAATAGTCAACAAATATTAGAGCATTGTCTGTTGTTTAGATCTAAAAAAAATTGTTTTTATGGTTGTGCACTTACCAAGGAACTATAAAAAATAAAAAATCGCGTGTATTTAAGGTGACTCAAATTTGACATGTATGTTCCATTCTTAATCAAGTTTTTTTTCTTTTAATTTTTTTAATTTTTTAATCTAAAAAACAACCATCAATTTTTCTTTTTTTGAGGAAGACCATCAATTTTCTTTCGCCTAATTGAGTTACTCTTTTTTGACATTTTTCTAAATTTTAGCTAAAGTCAGTTAGCAGAATCGAGATGCTCAGATAAGGGAATGAATTGCCCAAGCAATTAAGAACCAAACCCTAAACCACCATTAAGAGTTAAAAAAATACTCCAATTTTCTTCATTTCCAAGTTTTTTGTTTGACTATAGTCCATGCTCATCGTTTAATGATTCCAAGTCTACACGAGTGCATGTGTTTTTGGAAATTGAGCTTCAGCCTTTTGAGTTCCCATGTCCATGACTATTTTCGAAACAACTATGCTAGCAAGTTGGACCTCCTACAAAGAGGATAAAATTTTCAATGTATTAGGAATACGACTCGATACATTAAGTATTTAATGTATTATGATTGTATCAGAAACTTAAAAGAATATTATAATCAATTGTATTATGACACCTATTGTATCTGACAATATTGTCGACACATCGAAAAACTTATTCACAACAACCAAATCAAATCAAATCACATTTGGCTGGCTCCCTAATTGTTTAATTTGATTTGTACTACTTTTACTTTGAGAAAAAAAATACCATTGGCTTGGTCTGTCAACAAATTAAATAAAGAGGCTTACCTGCTTTTCATGCACACATTAGGAATACATTGTCGTTCACGGATTTTTTTATGATGTCTTCAAGGATAGTATATTTAGAACATATTAATCGTTAGATCTTTGATAAAAAATATAAAAAATAAAATTTAACGATTATAAAGTTCACAATATCTTATACTCTAGATCAACATATAATTTTTCTTCTTGTTTATTTTAGGTAAAAACTTGAAAAAAAAAATTCTTTCTCTTGTGCAATTTCTCAAATAGATGGAGACATATTCGTACCCTAAGATAAGATTTCATTACCATATCCATCAATTCCAACAGTAATTTCCACTGATCAATTGAAGCATAAATAGAAACTTTTCATCAACTGTGGAGCCTAGCTACCATGCATGTACAATCTTGGGAACTCTTAGCTGAAGTAATCAAGTTTTACTATAAATAGGCCAACAGATATACAAAATTTGTAACCTACATTAATCATCTGCAGCAATGGATTGAGTTGTGTATTTCAATGTTTGACACACAAACCTGTATATTGAAACCGCAACGTATTATGAAACCCTAGCCCTGGCTTGTAATTTACCAAAAATAAATTAATTTCAATGTATTTAGTTTCACAAGTCTCTTTGCAAATATGAAAGTGATTTGTACCGTATGAACAGGCAGATCCATATTTGAATGAATGTGACTTTTGGCACTCTCCTACAGTTGATGATAATTCAAGGCATCAGACACCTGATGTTGACCGTTGAGAGGACGTGCATTGGATGCTAACATGACATGATTGGAAGAGGCACTGTTCGTGTGCAAATATGACATTCATGTAGGGTATTCGTACATAATTACATATCAATCAAACACTACCGATATTTTAATTTCTGTTGTAACTTGTAATCTATTAGTTGTAAACATTACTCGTTCAAAAATACTACTCTTACCACATATTTGTACTATTATTTGTATCATTTCTTTAATAAAGATAAGACTTCATGCGTTGGAGTAGACACCTTGCACACATCGACGATGATGAAGAATAATCATTATCGATCTCTTTTTCTAGTTGTCAGAATGAAATATATATGAAAGTTGATCGATCTGGTCATCTTAAGGACTAGAGCTGAGAAAGTTGAAAATCAGAATATGCACGTAGCAGAGTTATGAATATTTACTTTATTATCTCAAAATAATAAAATACAATAAAATTGTCAAGAAAGCTACATAATCCAAAGAGACTAAAAAAAAAAAAAAAAAAAGCTCTCAGCACCTCGAAAGCACACTTGAAGAACGAAACTACAGCAAACAATAGGGAAGGATGGTCATGTTCAACCAGCAGTAGACAACAAGGCATTAGTTTACACATTCAGAACCCAGATGACTCAACTAACGAGGAATATGATGCATTCTCATCTGTAGTTGTTGGCTTTCTGTTACCATCCTTATTCGATTCTCGGCTACTAGCCTTCCGAAGTATATCTGTGTCGAGACCGGCTATATCATACAACTCCAACCTTCGGATTTTAGCTGCTTCCATGTCACCTTCCCAGCAGGTTTCTGAAATAATTTCAAGCGCTTTTTCCACCTTGGTCTCGGCCACAAGACCCTCATTTTGCAGGAGGACAAGGTAAACTTGTTCAGCAGAAGCTTTCCGTATCTGGGTAGAGGAAAGAAGAATGAACTTACAAGGAAAATACAATTGAAACTGACCTGCTTCAGCGGTGCAATTATGATTAGGGTTTTGATCCATATCATTAAATTTCATGGGAACCACAAACCTTAGGGTAGCGATGGCCAAGAAAACTGAGAAGATGTGAGAAGGCCCGAGTGTTGATGGACTCCGAAACTGAAGCAATATATCCAAGTATTGCAATGCCTGCATATAGCTTGGAGAAGTCCCTTGACCCTTTTAATTCAACTTCCAGAGAGTCCAAAACACCAGTACAAAAAAAAAGTGTATGAGCCTGTAAATTGAAATCAAGATCCAAATAAATCAGAACCATCCTCATGGCGTTTATAATCACAAGACTGGCTGCAAAACCATATATGAAACTGGGAAAATGCACTTAGCATTGAAAATTTTTAATCTGGCAAAGTGCTAACCTCCATACTCAACAATATCTGTTTGCTGAAAAGAATCTCAATCGTCTGCAATACCAAAGAGCTTTGATTACAATCAAGAACTTGACCAAGTAAGGCAGGAAGATGAACATTGCAATAAATAGGTTATGAACTTATGATCAGCCAAAGGAAACAACATTAACAAATGGCCAGAGCATCATCTCTCTGAAATCGGTCAAGGTCTCAGGTAAGAATAAACAAGAAGCTAAGAAATTATTTAACTCTGCTTTTTTATATTTACAACCAATGCAGAGCCAGGAATTACGTCAAGGAGGGTCAAATTCAAATAATTATAAGATTAAAAGAAGCTTACTTGCAAACTTCCTATGTGTTGAAGAAATAACCATAACTGTTAAGATATTTAACTCCAATATTACTGTTTTAGTATCTTATATTAATTCTTACCTTCCAAAGTTATAACTTGATGAAAATGCTAAATATAAACCAAGTTGTTATTGTAATTTGACATAAACAACCGCCTATAACCAACCCATAAGCACATGGTCAAAAACAAAGCGAGTAAAGATGAGTAAAGAGAAAGTAAGGGAAGTCAAATTTTGCAAAGGGTCAGCTATAAGCAAAGATGATACACATTAAATTACAACACAAAAGAACATTAATTTTTCAAATGGTGAGAACAGCTGACCCTTATAGGCCTTTAGCTGCCTCCGCCATTGTTCACAACGATGTGGTTTCACTTCAGATATAGTGATAACACAATATCAGACTTTATGGATTTATTCTTAACTTATGAACACCACCTATCAAAGCTGTTAAACAATAAAGAATAAAGTAATCAACAAATAAAAATAATAAAAACTAGTCTCTCCATTCCACTAATACGAGGGAAAGATAAATTTGGTCACCTAATAGCAGCGCATGTAATCAAGAATTCCTTCATAATTTCTGTAAAACAAAAAATTAATGTCTCACTTCTCAAAATAAGGTTTCATCTGACACTACCTTCAATGCAGGTACAATGACTCTGTCACATCTCCTGTACTGTTGGAGAACCCAAAGCATGTCAGTAGATAACATATACTCTCTGGACCTTTCGTTCTGGTCTTCACTTTCTACAACTTGAAGATACTCTAACAATGCTGTGAGTGATGCCTTCCTCAAAAAATCTTGCAACCCACCAATAGAGATGACTAACCCAGATAGCACTGATCTGCTATAACAGCCAAATTGAAGCAGTTGTACAAAACGAGGATATGAAAAAGTTGGCACCTACAAGCAAGCACAGGATAGGCTCTCCGTCAAAGAACTTCAATTACCAATCAATAGTACAGAAGTGGCATGTGTATACTTACCCCCCACTTTAAATCAGCTCCGTTAGGAACAATTTTTTCCAACTTTTTTCTGTGCGGTATATGCGGGACATAGGCTATCTCGTTGTACAAAATCCTCTGTAGAACCTTTGCAGCTGCTTCTCTCAGTTTGTCCATTTTCTCTACAGCTTGCTTACTAATTCCAGCAACTATACTTGTAGCAAGATTGGCATCATACAATGATTGCAGCTGGTTAATGTCATCACTATTCTGCAACTCCAGTGCAGAATCGACTCGACCTGATCTTCCAGTAAGACCAACAGAATCTCTCTTACAGAGGATATATGTACATCTCTCAAGGCCATTCATAGCAGCCTCACGCACCCAAGAACCCACATCACCTCTGTTATCAACAGAATAGTCATCAAGAGCCTTAAGTAAAGTCATCATTATTTCGTCCTTGATGAGAATAAACAAAGACATGTCACCCTCCACGGCATCAATTCCAGATTGTTCTTTTTCCCGAGTTAATGCTTCACACACTGACACAAGTCCTTTGACAGCATTGACTCGTGCTTCAGCATCTCTATCATCGGGATTATCCTGTAGGTGAGAAATGTAATTAGGAGATCATCATTCTGATATTCTTGCGCAAAACAGGAGAAAGGAAATGAAGATCCAAAACTCCTTTTGCACCTCAATTAAACAAGAGTTACAAAGCTTCAGAAGCACATCCTTCCACCTATGGGCGAAAAGTTCACATGGCAAAACACCTAGCGCTAGTGCTGACCCTCTTCTTATAGCCACATTTGGGTCACTCAAGAGGTCCAGGTACTTTGATGTTATATCACCAGTACCTCCAACAGACCCAGCAACCAGATATGCTTGCACAAAATGCTTCAGAGCTTTAGTTGCAGCATCCTGCATATAATAGTAAAAAACTTGAGTAACAATTAAATATCACAATGAAAAAAATATAATAATAAGCAATTAGGTAGAATACTTAAGGATAACCACCTGAATTTGCGAATTAGGGTGTCTCAAATTCTCATTAAGAGTATCAAGCAGACTACGTTTTATCTTTTCAGGCAGTGACACAGATGATATAGATATACATTCAATGAAGCGGGAAACAGCTGCACGCATTATTTCCCCGCCTTTTCCACGATAAAGGCGTGCTTTCTCAATAGCAGGCACAACACCAGCAACACGTTTTTGCTTATCTGTAAACACCAATTTAACAAAACAGTAATGGCTTATGCAATAAAAATACCAATCTTGCACCCCACCACCGGAAATGGGACCCCCCCCCCCCCAAAACCAAAAAAAATGACCGGAAAAGAAAAGTAAAAAGCAAACCCTGTATAACTGCTTTGCTTGAATTGGAAAACAAAAGGATATATTTTACTTTAAAAATTGAAAACCATCTGAAAGGGAGACATTAGGAACGCTATGCTGTCGATGACCTCAGATGAGTTGCCTTCCAGACATCATTTTATAACATCCTCCTCGTGGATTAGGCTTTTATAACATCCTCCTCATGGATTAGGCTTTTGGTACAACATCTATACACTTGGCAAGCAAAGACTTTGTTTTGTGTGACCTAGTTCTGTCAAACCTTTTTGTTTTTTATTTTTTTGTCATAAAGCAACCATGTCTTTCAAGTTTCAGTAGTAGTGCCACAAAAAAAAAAAAAAAAAAAAACTGTTTTTAACATTAAGGAAAAAAACAGTGAAAAAAAAAGAACATTTGAAACCACTTCTCTATGATTTCACTCCTATAATTTCTCACCCTCTTATCCCACTGCACCTACTTTTTGAACAACAATACTACTTCCTTATCCTGATACCTACCGGAAAATATATAAACATACACACTAGTCAATTTCTAAGAAAGTTTACTCAATTCACATTTGCTCCAGAAACTGTACTTCTAAAATGTTTCTGGATCTGAAACCTTCTGCTTAAATCTAATTGCATAAGAAACACTTTAATCTAAGATAGACACAACTATCAAGTTTTATCTTACTTATCGTAATCTTTTACTTATATTTCTAAGAGGTTAGAGTAGCAACCTGCAGAAAGAGCATAACCACACTTGTGTAGTGCCAAAACAAGTTCCCCAGCTGCCAGTGTTGCTCCATGGCGCATGCACAAATCAGATGAGAGAGCAAGGAATTATTTTCTCCACAGCATAGTTTGCAAGATAGTCATGATCATATTTAACCAGGGAAGAAAGAGCCTCAGCCGCAAGTTCTCTCAAACCTTTATCCTGATGACATTGTGTAAAACATAAGATCTACAATGATAGATAAAAGTAGTCCGTAGGGAATTTAAAAACCTTAAAGAATTCAAGTTGGAGCCTACCCAGTGACAAATTTTGTTATACAGCAGCTCATCCACAAATGGATAAAGATAACCCTCATATTGAGCAATAGAGACAGCAACATGAACATAAGAGTTTACTCGTGAAGAAAGTGAGAAATAGTCTGCAGTGTTCACTATGTCAATTCCATGAGGGTAACTACCCTGCCTTCCAACATTCTCTTGAAAAGCTGCAGCAGCTGCTCTTCTACAATTAACCTAAGCATCATAAACTAGAATATAAGAACATACAACAAATGTGGTACGAAATAATGATTCAAATCATATAATAATGAAAGTTTAGTACCTCACGGTCGTAGCAGGCCACTGTCAGAAGGTGTGGTGCAAGCTGGTCCAGTATATTTCTCATATCCGTGTGATAATATGCACGGCCAAAAGCCCAACAAACATAAGCTGCAGCATCCCGTACATGAGATCCAATACTATGTGGACCTCTTCGAATATCATAATGCAGTGCCTAATTAGAAGATGTACTCTCATCAGTACTAATTTATTTCTCTACAAGCCAAGAATTTATATTTCGTATTTGGTTCAACTTTTGACATCAATCATTAATCTTTCACCGACTACAACAGAGAAACAGCACCACATTAGAACAACCTAGTAAGCTTGAAGCTCCATAAAAGCTCACAAAACCAAAGTAGACTTCAAATACGACATTGTAGAGGAAGTATATGTTCATGACAACTTACACCTAGATCACTATGACATAATGGGAAAAAAATTAAAGGAAAAGAAAGAAGGCATTCAAATTTAGAGTAAATGTGAAATCATTTCATCATTGATGAAAATTGCTCGCTAGTGGATCAAGTGATCAACCATATATGATATACACTTGCTACAGTTCAACAAAAATGCCAATATACACTAGATTTATAAGTCGGTATTCCAGACAACCTTCACAACAACAGGTACAACTTTCGGAAGGCTGATAGGTAAGAGCAACCCTCTACGCGCCAATTCAGCCAGTGCTAAGCAACCACCATGCCATGACCCATCACCCTAAAAAAGTAAGACATCAGTACAGCTTTTTGAGAAATAAAATTGGTACAATTATTCACAACTAATGAAAGGGTGTGAAGATGCAATGTTTTAAAGGATTACAGAAATCCATGTAAGCATGAAAGATTTTCCAGCAGGGACATTTTAACCAGTTGAATGGTAGAAGTATGGAAAAAGATACCAAACAAAGCAACCAAACTATACCTCGCCTGGAGAAAACAGCTCCAACACAGATGACAGGACCTCCTCTGAAAGGGCAGATGTAAGACATGAAGTAATGCGGCCAATACCTTTTGCAGCAGACCAACGCACAACAGTGTCCTGCATAAAAATGCTATTAGTAATAAGTACATACCATATGACAGTGGGAAAAATAAAAGAAAATCAAAATATCCAAAACAAGGATGAATCAATAGCAAGTTAGCAACTTGAGTTGCTCTCTAGTGCAACCTTATCCATGCACATGAAACCCTTGGTTTTAGTTTTCTAAGAGACTAAAACTTTTGGAAGAACCAAAAAGAAAACTTATAGAAGAAGCTGAAAGAAAGACTTATCGGAATTCATGTCAATTATAATGGACTCGCATCTCAAAAGGGAAGAGAAAATGTGATGATCCAACTATTTTGAGCATTGAACCTCATGGATTAATGAAAAAGGTGATGGAGAGGATAAATCAGTGAAATAAACTGAACAACAGCTCCTCAGTATTTACCACAGCAACATATTGTTCCTCATTTCCGAGGTAATTTCATCTAATGGATCAGACTTTCTGTAAGTGTGATTTCTCATTCCAACATTGAATGCCTCAGCCAGATCATCCGCATCTTGGAAATCAGACTTAGTCAGTTTTGTTTATCTCGCAAGTAAAACTAATAATCCTTTAAGTTCGTCTGTATAAACTCACATGTGAGGAGAATCATTTCAAAGCTGTTATGCAGATGGGCTTGGCTTTTCAAGTTCATAACAAACAGTTTGGTTAAAAGGCAAGATCAAAATGTCTGCAGATAAGCAGAATATTGAGGAATGGCAGCTTCTCCAAAGGTTATTTACTATATCAGAAAGCCAGCAATGTTCCAACCAATAAAATTCTAAAGAAAGATCAGGTAAATGACCAAGATGAGACCAACAAAAAAGAGAGATCCATATTGTCAGTGAAACTTTAACAGCAGGAGCTACTAACTTCAAAGTAACCAAGTTCTCGATGAAATCTCATGCATTTAAACATACCGTATCTCTCAAACCAGTAAGTAGCATCTCAATAATCTCTTCTACAACTTCTGGAACATCCATTTCTTCATCTTGCTGGCAGCTTGAACTTGGTTCTGAGTTGGAATCCTCAGAATTTAAAGCATAATTGCATCGACCAGTTTTTTCAGATGCAGACAAAGTTATGTTCTCTCCCAAAGAGCTTGTTTTCCCCTGCATCAAAAGTACAAGATTAAGGCAAGAGAAAGCCATCAGAGAAAAAACAAAGCTATCCAGGACATATAAGGGTTTTTAACAAAGGCCACTAATCCATAGTGTGGTAATTTGTAAAATGCAAAGAATTGCTTAATATGCTGTCCCATTCAAAAAGATTATAATTCTAGATGCAGAATCACATCTGGTATTTGAATTCTTAAGTACTCTAAGCAGCTTATTCATTAACACTCGGATCATTTTAAGAAGAGCATAAACATTGAAAAGAAAAATACCAAAAGGTGGGTCATACAACAGGAAATACATACCATTTGTAATGAAAATTACAAGTGTAATAAATTAAGTATCTTAAACATTGACAGAAACAACTTATTATTGATAAAACTAAGTTAGAAATATGGAAAGGATAAAGAATTTAGCATTTCTAACCACATAGCGCCATGAAGGTGTACGATGAGGAAGGCAAGTAAGCCCAATTCTCTGGGTTAATTTCATCAGATACTTGCGCAGCAATGGGCTCCTAGCTGCATTGCTAGACTTGATCAACAATAAGGTGTCAACCCAAACAATAGGAACCACATCAAGCAAGAGTTTCCGCCCACCAACCTGTCCATTTAAGATGGTATATAAGATACTAAAATATTAAAATAACCTGGGCAAAATAAATGACAATCATTCTAGAAAATAGACTTCTGCTATGCAGCATCCATAAAACAATCTCCATAACTTAACAAAATGCAGTTTTGTTTATATTCAAAAACATGTCAACTGAAGTATCTGCATCAGAAGTTAAACGAAATTTTACGCCTCAAAGTGGAAATGAATGAATATATTTAATCATAAAACAAAGTAGGTCGCACAGTTTTTAATATATAATATTGTTACTGCTTTCTCAATATATCAAGCATAGTTTTTGATATGGTGACCTTTAATGAAATTCATTACCCAGGTTATCTCCTAGAATACAAATTCTGACTGCTTGAGCTGACAGTTGGACTCAAGAGGAACAACAATTTGGTGCAACCCACAATAAAAAACCGGACTCCTGACTCAGTATCAAACAATAAGGCATTATATTTTATCACCATTTAATTTTAAAGCATTATATTGAAATTCAAGCATTCAAGCATCCAAGAATCAAAAATTACTGAAGAAATTATGTACTGCCTTTCCACACAAAATGAGCATCAACAAAATCATATGAGTTATAAGTCTTATAGGGATGTCAAATGCATCTCTTCACATCGCAACGATCCCATGACATAAAGAGGCCACTAGATGTTATATTATGCATGGTGCAGAGAAACAGTCCAATTATTGAAAAACAACAACAAAAACTTCCATGAAGAAAAACTTTAACGAGAATCTCGTTAATTTGGTCTAACGCAAACTGAGTTATAGGTAGGGATTTACCCTGTAACTTGAATTTTCCATTGAAAAGTTAAAGAAAATAAATAAATAAATAAACATATCAGTTTAGAGAATCAAAACATAAATGCAATATGCAACTTGCAATCCTCTTAAAAATCATCATACTTGCTCAAGGGTCACAGTTATTGGTCCTTAGAAATAAGCTTTCTCAACTAAATTGCAAACTATGTTAGGGTTCAGATCGTATGAACTACAAAGAAGTATAAGCAAACCTTGAAAATAGCAGCCAGTGCTTCTGTAGCTCCAAGTAACCGGATATGATTGATGGCATCATCTGTAAGAGAAGATAGTACTTCGTGTGTCCATTCAACAAAGCTGAAGAAGAAAATGTATAAGAAAAGGGTAAGCAAATGCAGCAATAAGAGTGGTCTAGAATTACAACTAAGAGCTAAGAAAGAAATTATCACAGAAACATGCACATCAGTATGTGTGTGTAATGTACAAGTACTTAAGGTTGAGTATTCATATTAAATTTATCACATTCAAAGTTGCTGGACATCAAGCGTTCGTACTATCTTATATTCAAAGCATTAGCTGTAGAACCAGTAATAAATTTTAAGTCTCCAAAAAAAATTTAACAAATTTATAGTGATGCAGAAACAAAAACAAGAGAGGATTAACTCATTTATCTTGGCTAGAAGGTTATATTCCATAAATATTAAGGTGTAATCACAGCTCGCACTCAGCTGGAATTTGAATCAATTTTCATCATATACGCATGCAATGCTAAAGTAGGCGGTGGTATGCAACATTTTATGACCTATGTACGTGATGTAAGAAACCTGGAAAAAGCCTTTGGCATGTCTGGGCGTGTTAGAAGCTTCGAGAGCAGCAAAGCAGCAATAGGACGCATAGGGCCTGAATTTGAAAGGTAATCTTTGGAGAACCCTACTATCCTCAATACCAGAGGAGCTGGCTCAAGTTTTCCAAGATTACTGTTGTTTGCAATGCTAGTATCAACAGTGGAGATATCAAACGGAACCAACACGAGTATAGACAGCCACAAGCATCACAAATCACACATTTAGCTTCCATCTCTCCTGTACTTTCCTGACGCAGTGATGACACTGACTTTGTGTGATGGCACTTCTCCAAGAGAGACACAGCAAGTTCCAAGTCCGAGACTTGATGCGGAAAGAACCTGACAACCGCCTTGTATCCACAAACTGTGACCAGAGAATAAAGAATGATGCATATAGGTTTAATTACTTCAAGAATTTCATCCGAAGCTACACCTAATTCGCTTGTTTTAGAGCGGACAATAAACATAAGTGGGGTAACAATGCTCTCCAGGTACGGTTCAACTAGCTGGCCCTGTTCTTGATACTTGTCCATCTGCATACAAATAAGGAACAAATAGCAAATTTTTAGTGTAGAACAAAAACATTTTCGCCCATCAAATAATGTCTCGAAAGAAAAACTAAGAAACCAACTTGGAGCAGTGTAAGCACTAGCTCACCTCTGAATTGATCAAAACGGGTCCAATCAGAAACCCCTACTCCTAAATACAAGCAATTGGGTGCATCCCACAAATCCAAAACAAATTCATTTTACAGCACTATAAAACGGGTGTCTTGATATAAAAAAACTTCAAAAAAGCAAACTAATTTCACTTCCTATTCACTTAAAATTGTCTCTAATCACAAAGTAATTAAAGGAAAAAAATGGTATTATTGTCTAATAACAATAAATTCCAAATGGGTTCAAACCAAAAATTCAATCTTGAAAAATGCAGCAAATATCAAGAGGGATGGAAGAGAGCGTTACAATGGATCGGATCTTGTGGGGAGCGGAGGGATCGGAGACCCGCCCATTGGAAACAATGTCGTCTAAGATGGACTTGACGAGCTTCCATTCTTGAAGGAAGTACTTTTGGAGTACTGCCTCCTTGGCACCATGCTCGTCGTCGTCTTCTTCCTCACCCATTGCAAGTTCCTGTTTCTGCTGTGGGTTTTCTTCCGCCGCCATGGTTGCCATTTTCGGAGGTGGTTGCAAGTTCCCGCCTTTGTTCGCTTTGAGAGCCCCCTCCGCTTCCAGCAAACTTCACTCTCTCATTTTTTACTTTTCTTCTGTTAAACACCATCTTTACCCCAATTTCTATCGGCACCCATTATAAAAGGTTTTTATTTTAATATTTTCTTAATTCACCACTTTTGTTTCATAAGTAAATTATAGCAATAGTTTTTTAACTTTAATTTAATTAGAGTAATGATTAATTAACTAAAAATTTATTACATTTGGTCCCCTCAACTCATCAAAATGTGCATCTATGGTCCCTCAATTAAAAATTCATTATCATTGGTCCCTCAACTTTAATACAACTGGAAAAATTGTCCCTCAACTTTAACACAATTATAGCAATGGTGTTTCCAACATAACTTATTTTGATAAATTCTGACGAAAATGATCATAACTACACGTTTTGATGAGTTGATGGACCTCAATTGTAGCAATAGTCATTCCAGCCATTTTGACAAAATTCTGATGAAGTTGACGAAAATTACCACAACTACACGTTTTGATGAGTTGAGAGACTGCAATTGTAGCAATGATCTTTCCAACATAACTTATTTTAACCAAATTTTGATGAAGTTGACGAAAATGATCATAGCTACACATTTTGATGAGTTGAGGATGGTAATAGATTTTTAGTTGAAAAATCATTTCTCCAATTTAATTAAAATTAAAGAACCATTACTACAATTTACTCTTGTTGCAGCAGAAGTACCCTTAAACACGGACCAACACCACCACTCCGAAACTCCCAAGCAGATTGGGATGTTTTGCCAGTCAATTATTCAACTCAATACTCCATATGTCCATGTTTATTTTTACTTTAATTGTTCCATATATTATCAATTTAACTTAAATATATGAAAGAGCGGAATTTTCATGACCATGAAAAGTAACAATTCCCACTTCTCCCAGTTGAGTTAATTGAATTGAGATTGTGTTTTTGTTGAGGGAGAAAAATGAAACGACTGAAGATTTTCTTTTTGTTACGAGGAAATATTTTAGAGGGAATATACTTTTTATATTGATTGTCGACAAAGGAATCAACATTCTATTCTTGTAGGAGTGCTTGAAAGGATATTTCTATGTGGTTGTCAAGCTCGTGCCTCATAATGGAGGGTAACTAAGTAGCTCGACTCAAAAGAGAAGGTAACAAGACGAAAATGTGATAGTTCGGAGTGTCAACTAGAACAAGCTATCCCGCATAGAGTTTATGAGGTGTAAGAGTTATAGAAGGGTGAGCATAGATGGAGGATTGTGTTTAAATTGAATAACTCTTTTTTAAAGGGTTTGCGGTTTATTAATCTGTTCTCCAAAAACTGTTTATTAATTTATTTTTCACTTATCATAATTCATTAGTTCATTCATTTTACTATAATTTAATCTTGATTTGTATATAATTTTTCATAAAGATTTTATATGCAAAAAAAAATTTAGAACCATATAATCTTGATTAATATGAGGAATAGAACCATGTATTGTATTTCATTTGAACAAAAATATAATTTATTTTGTACAAGGGTAATTTGATAATGGAAATGGTTTAGATTTCAACTTTTCCTAATTGTACATTGTTTTAATAGGAATTAGTTTTGTTTTCATTCCGATTCATTTGTTGTGCATGTCAAGTTATGAGTGAAAAGGGTAAGAAATGGAAAGAAAAAATATATATATAAGTAGCATTCATCTAATTACATTTTACACTCTTAAAATTTCTCGAATATGTGACAATTGGGCCTTTGAAAGTAGTTGGGCTCGTTAACACACCCCGACCGAGATCAAGGCATGCTGGCTGTCACGTGAGGGTAACGTAACCATGTGCACAGTGCGGAAGCATTAAGGATAAGAAATATACGAATAATTAAAAACCGAAACTATTAGAGTGCACTAGAAAACAAGAAGTGTTAGGAGTAAGATACAAAAGTAATTACTTCTAATCATAGCATAACAAGTCTAGGTGCAGTCCAGTAGGACAAATACTAGTTATACAGTACCATAAAGTGTCCTACAATTATTTTATTATGTCAGAACCGTTGAAGTCTTCAAGACCACCAACAGCAAGCTTACCTAAAACTTGGAGGGGCACAAAATAGAAAACGTGAGTGGGTAAAAACAAATGTTTTACAAAATCAATTCATTTATCAACATTTCTAACCCCTCGCTGTAAAACATGTATAATTTTTCCCAGAATTAGAATATAAGCATATATATATATATATATATATATATATATATCAATTCAAATCATGCTTCACATAATCATCTTCATATGTATGTCATGCCAAGATATAACAGAGTAAGTAATTCAGGTGAGAATAACTTCATAGAAATATAACATATTAGCCGAAACCCTTGTGGTAGTCTGTACGGCTGAATTCATAGCTCAAAAGTCAATCTAGCCGGAGTCACTACAATGACCTATACGGCACTATATTGCACAAGAGTCGGAACCAAATGAAAAGGTTTGTACGACAATACTGGATGTAATATAATTATGCTCAATACTACTTTCACATAATAGATAGGTGATAATTCGCCAATCACCTACGAGTCGTGTTAGGTAAAATTGGCTATTCCTAAACAAAACGCCGAGTCTGTAATCTTAGACTAGTGCTTATTTCAGTTGTAACTATTTTAGTCTAAGTTTGTCTCACGTGCTCTCGATCACAAAATGACAAGCGTTTTAGAGACATCCACTCAGGTAAATTTGACATGCATATACATTCATATAGTCCAAGTCTATGTTAAATGGATTATTTAGGTTTGGGCTTCTCATATTTATTAGTTTGATATTTTAATTATGATTTCATTATCTTAATTAAAAGCCCATGTCTTTTTAATTAGCCGCATGCTCCTAGACTACTTGTTGATCTGTACATTTGCACCTTTAGGATATTGATAATTCCTATTGGTTTTAATTTTTATCTGGTAACATGTCATTCCAATCTTAAGGAATTTGAAATCAAGTTAAAGTCTTCTACTGCAGTCTATTTATAGATGCATTAGGTTAGGGTTTCAGTGCTGCCGCATAACACACACGGGATTAAACAGAGCATATATAATACCGAGTGCAGCACAATAGGGTTCGGGGTTTTGGGCGCATCATGCATTAAAGTAGGTTATGTGGTTTTGTTTATGGCTGCCGCATATGCATGAGTAAGGATTTCAAGTTGTTGTTGTGTCATTTGTTTTGGAAAGACATTACTTCATGCTCTAGGTTTTTTCACGAGTCTGCATCATAATCCCAGTTTTCGTTTTCTCTGTTCTAATGCGGCATGTGTATTGATATTCTAATTGTACGTTGCTATTAGTCTATGAAATAATTTTTGAGAAAAAGCTTATAGCAGCCCATGACACAGAGAATGGTTTTCAAGTATTTTGAGAGAGAAAAATCAGTTTGCATTTGTGCGGTTTCAAAAGTTTAATTCTTATTTTAATCACTGATTTTTATCGTGCTTTAACAAGAAATCAATTATGAAAATGTGCCTTGTGATTTTCGTAATTGATTGTTTTTCAAAAATCATAACATCATACATTCACTATGCATGATCGCGGTAGTATCCTGCAAAGTTCGAGGCGACAGTGATTGACGGCCGCGTTAGTGTCGTGCCACTTCCACTCGAAGGCTGAAGAGAGATCGAGTAGCAAAGCGCGGAGACAAAACTGCCTACTAGTATGTGTGTCTAGTTGATGAGTTTTGTAAGTCTTTCTGTACTCATTTCTCTTAGTGTTTGTCCTGGCTTGGGAGCCCGAGGATTTTCCTAGTGGTGGGTTTTGCCTCGTTAAATCCTACATCCTGTGTGCGCATTTTATTTATCTTTATAATTGCATATGTGTAGGATAGTTTATATGTGATGTGAATGTGGAATTAATTTGAGAACTGAAAATTAAATTGGATTTTTAAATTGGAACATATTCACCCCCTCTAGGTTAAACTAGTACCATCCTAGAACTTTCAAGTCGGAACCATAGTAAATGTCTGTACGACAAGATTGTGCACCTACATTGGATCCAGTATGAGCATATGGTGCAGGAGGTGACATTATAAACAGCCATGTGCCATATTTCTGGCTAAATCACAATCACCTTAGGTGCAGTTTTATGAGCTCAACGTTATTCAATCACAAATCACATCATCGATAATTCACCTAACCAAACATAACTCACCTGAGCTTATCTGAGCGTCCACAGCACCACAATTATATATATAATGCATCATATACCAATTATAAACTTATATGTATGACATTCAAGGCATATTCTCATTAAAACGTATTTTTTGGGAAAAATATCAAGTATATAATATATATTGAAAACCAAAAGCCCACTCACTGATATGTCGAAGGGTCGTAACCCCCAAGTCGCCCTTGAACGCGCTCGTCCTCGGGATAAGTTTTACCTATATGCGAATTAACTATAAAAACGTTATTTAAAGCACATAGACAAAATTAGCTAATAACTTCTCATACAATGCTCAAATGTGGTGTTTGAATATACCAACGTGATCTACACAACTCTACGAACATCCCCATATTTTTAGAAAAAATTTCCGACCATGCACGGGCACGTGCCTGGCACACCCACGGCAACAGTGACGCCGTTAGGAATATTCCGTGGAATATTTCGTTAAATAGTAACGGAAACCATTAAAGTTAACTAAGGCCGTAGAATATTCCATCAAAGTTGACAGAATATTCCGTCACCCCTAACCTCAAACCTCCGGCGACCATCGCCAACGCCGGAAACTGGGCAAAACTTGAAACCTTGATATCTCACTCGATATTCAACCAAATTTCATGAATTTTATGTCAAAATGAAGCTTAGAACAATTAGAACAAACCCATACCAGTTTTAGGACCTAAATCCCACGAGATTCACCAGAAAACTCCTCGATATTTCGGCCAAAACCTGCAACTCGCCGTTCTCGCTATTCCGACGTCCAATTTCTTCCAACGAACCACTCCTAGCCTCGTGAGGACCTTAAGCTACTTATAAGTTCCAAATTCCTTAAAACCTTTAAAATTACGTGTGCATGAACAGTGCACAAAGTCAGGGTTAGGGTTTCTCGGGTTTTC